CACGAGCGTACGCGACATCCCTCTCAAAGTCATCGTCCGGCTCGAAGAAGCCGAAATCAAGCAGATCGCCCAGATGAATGACCACATCTGGATTGTGGATGAACATGGAGGTCTGGAAGGCACGCTTCATTAGCCGCTCCCTGAAAAGGATGGCGTCAAGAAGTGGGTGAGGTAAAAAGTCCTGAAAATCAGTCGGTCATGCGGTAAAGCGGGTGTAAGGGAGAAGCAGGGTTGAATTGACATAGATTATCACCCTGACGACAAGCTGAAGTTTTCAAGCACGGTGTACGGAAGAGGTTAGTGTCTGCGCTTCCGACTTGGCATTCAAAGCGGGCAAGTGTGGACCCATGTGCTACTTACTTGTACCCGACACAGCTGCGATCACACCTGATCTAACCGGCCTCGATGATGTCCCGAACGGTACCTCTTAATGCGTGACGATCCGTGGCACCAAATATGGACAGTTAAACCCCTTCTCTTTGTCAACGACGGAGACCGCATATCAAGGGTCCAAGGTTCCATGTTCTTGACGAGGTGTGTCGAGCTGGGTTTTGAAGTGACCCCCCCTTGGACGCCTCCAATGGGGTGTAACGGTGCCGGATCGATGGCAACAACACTGAGCTCCTGAGGTGGACGACGAAGAACATGCCCAACCCACCTCAGTCGTGTTTCTTGGATGGTCTGGGTTATCATTGCGATGTTGTCGCAGCGAGTGCGGATCGTCTCATTTGAGACGATGTCGGTGTACTTCACTCGAAGGATGGTCCTCGAGCAGTGGTGATCAACTACCTCCAGTTTTCGTTCGTCCTCGACGCGCACAGCCCAGCATTCACAGCCATAGAGAAGGATAAATTGGACAAATGCACAGTACACGCGAATCTTAGTGGTGATGGTGATGTCGTGTCAGGCCCATATGCATTTTCGAAGGCTTGAGAAAACCCAGCGGGCAACGTCATTTCGGGAGACAATGTCTTTTATTCTGTCCATTGGGCAGCAACCTCGCCCCGAGGTATTTAAAACTGTCTACATCTTCAAGTTGACAGCCATCAATCCCGAGGCGTGCCTTCTCCTGGTCAGGGATACAGCTTGAGAACACTTTGGTCTTCCCAGCGCTTATGGATAAACCGACCGACTTAGCGACCTCATGAACCCGTGATACCATAGACTGCAGATTAACAAAACTAGAAGCAAGTAAGACGATATTATCGGCATTGTCGAGATCAGTCAGTCGGTGTCCGGGTGAAAACTCAACACCGTCACCTTCATGTAGGGCCCTCCCGAGAATTCAGCCAATAGCGTAGGTGAACAGAATTGGCGACAGGATACAACCTTGTCGAACGCCAGACCGAATACCGAACGGAAAAAACGACGGGCAGCGTGAATTCAGGAGTCAATGTCGTCCTTATTCTGTCCATTCGGCAGCAGCCTCGCCCCAAGATATGTAAAACTGCCCACTTCTTCAAGTTGACAGCCATCAATCACGAGGTGCCTTCTCCTGGTCGGGAAAACTCATTGGAACTGCCGCCTGACTCCTTCCCATACAATGGGCTTGTATGCCGTGCGAATTGTGGGGTTTTGCTGTTTCGACGAGGTATAGAGAAAGAAGACAATGATGGAGCATGACATATTCCTGTAGCGTCGGATACTACCGGGACTAATTTAGTTGGTTTGTTTTAACAGTGTCGCGAAACAACGCCGTTCATCCCCTGCAGTCACTGTCTGATTGGCATCGCATTGCATAATACCAACGGCCGTCGCGCGAAGTGCAGGACTGAGTGGACTGGATATTTCAAACTCGTCATCTCTATTCTAAGAAGTCTATCAGTCGTATCACCAATGACATGACTGGGGGTCACAAAATTTAACAAGAATGAGAGGAATAAGTTGGACATACATGAAGACCCGCGAAATCAAATGCAACATGCCGAAGTCATCAATGATTTTTATGAGATCCAACGTCTCCTGCATGCTCGAAGTCCGTTCAAAAACTTGCGAAACTTCAGTCCTTTTAAAACGGCTCTCCGTGTAAATATCTTTTCTTAAGCGAGACGCCATCGTGATTTCACGATGTAAAAGTTTCTTTTATGCTGCATCTTATGCACGAATGAGCGGGGAAATTCCAGGCACGCGGAGTTCGGTTCCATGCATCGATTTGCAGTCCTATACCCAAACTCAAAACCTTGAAATATATGGCCGCACAACCTTTGTTTAGAGACCAAGCCGGCAGATATTTGCAGCGCCGTCGGAACCACGCGTTAGTGACAAGTAGCCAGTTCTGATCAGCAACATTTAGCATTATCTTGCCATCGTCCCATCGATAGCCAGCCCTAAAGAAGCCAAAAGGGTGATCCAGTTCGGTCATTCCAGTCCCCGCCAACGATCAGTATTTCGTGACGAAGGAGTCTCTCAGCTAGCTTTTGTATTTTCAAGTATATTTCTTCATCGTATTGGTTGGCAGTTAGCCGTCATATAGACTGGTTCGCACACAAGCAGTGTACGGTTCACCTATTCCGAGGAGGCGATAGTCGCATAGTATCCAACAAAGTCATAGTGACCATGCTGGTAGAGGGTGAAATGGAAATCGGCCTAAAGATATTTACTTTCCGAGTCTGAGTCGGACTTTAAGCACACATTCGACTTTGACGTTGTTTATTAGGCCTGTGAACGGCCCGTTCCCGAGGATGTCTGTCATTCCAGTGTCAGACCCTAGTTCTCTGCATCCTGACGGGATTACCTTTACTAGAGAGCAACTGTTTATTCACCAGACCGAAGAGCAAATAACCTTAACTGAAGGCTGTTATACTATCCGTCACCCGTAGGGGCGCCGGGTAGTTAGGCTAACGACTAAGGTAAATATTTACACTTCCCATCAACGCCTGCGGTGATTGTTATCTGCATCAAAGAACACCTCGGTATCGTGTGCGGTCACTCCCTGTTACTACCACCTACAGCTTCCAAGGATGCATGTAACTGAAACCAAGAATGAAGTCTCAGGACTGTAGAGTTAAGCTTATTTTGAGCGACTGAAATTCAACCTTCAGAGATGATAATCGGTGCTGGTAGCAATATCTCAGGGAAGACTTGTGCTTGTGACACGGAACTTCCACAAGGGATAATTTAAAATATCGTCGAAAACAGCATTCGTCGATAAGAAAAAAAATGACAAACTGGCGATTAGCTTGAAAATTACCTCATAAACCTATAAAGCCAGTCATGCCTTGAGCTTATGTGGCTGTCCGTAAGTATCAGAACTTTTAGTGGTCGAGATTTTCCACTTGGAAGGACGAACGGATCGGAGTTCCTATTGGCAAGTAGTGGCCAGGTACATTGGAGGAGACTGAGGTAGTAGAACACGTACTCCACAAAAATGAGAAATATCACCACCGAAATGACTAAAAGTGTCAGTGACCTTCGAGAAAACATGGGTCACCTCTGCTGAAATGATGGTCCTGTAGGTAAACACCCACCTACAACTCTGTAGAACATGGACAATGCACTGACAAAAAAAACACGCTTAAGGAGCAGGAGTGGAATTGCGTTCAATGGAGTTTTTATTGAGAAATGGGTCAACAAAGAAGTTCAAGCAGTGGCATGTGCATAATATTTGGCGTGGAGATCGGAAACGTCCACAGCTCCAATGAACTCCCAACCATCCTTGGTTATGTGGTACACTAGAATTCAAAGGATTACGCGCTCTAAAGAACTCCACTTACGGTTATTTATTCCTCCTGATGCAGGATCTCGGTACGTTGCGTGGTAAATGGCCCTGCGACCTAGCTCAATGGCCTCTTCGGTGCTCATGTCGAATTTGTATCCGGGGTCGAGGATGGCATATGCGTGAGGGCTGCCAGATCCAGTAGAAAAGTAGTCGCCGGTGAGTCTTGTGCCATCGTTGTCTATGTAGTACAGCCCGGGACCCATCTTGTCATAACCAGCAATGACCGAGCCAAGAGAAATGCCCATTCCCTTGTAATTATAAAGCATATTAGACAGAAGCTTCGAGGCGGCAGCCACTGACATCCTCTCCTTATTTCGGAGTTCGAACAACCTATTCATTCTACGTAAGGGGAGAATGACATTCACACCTGCAGTGCTTTGACAAAACACGTTCCCAATAAAGACAATCTGCAGCTCCGCCAGCCATTGTTCCAAGCATATACTTGTTTATTTTCAGGACCTTGTGTACATCAGGAGTGGCTAATGGGCAATAAGTTAAAACGAAACATGCAGATATAGCTTCCGGCAGAGGCACGAGAATCAACGGAGACCACTATGCCATCTTTGTATTTAAAGGCAAGGGTTGTGGTTCCATGAACGAACTTAATTTTGTGGTCCTTGCAAGAGACACCATTGTCGATCTTTTCAATGTGGCCCTGGACAGCATAGTGCAATAACGGATTTGTACCTTGAGAATTGGGGCTGTGCACAGTGACAGCTCGGAATTATGTACAGATGGAAATGAAACCTGTGGAGAAGAACTTAGTTCAAGAAATCGTGGAGGCGCCTTAAACTCGGCAAAGTCGGCAAGGGCCATCGCATTAATCAAACTTATTAAAAGAACCGCGGTGGTAACTGGCTACTTTAAACACAATACCAATTATTGGTAATTGATTCTTTGAAGATGAACGAAAAATTTAAAAGGACTGTTGGCCTTTTCAAAATAAATTTTTTTCTGAAGCAGATGGAGAAAGTTAGAATTTCCAGGCGATCTGACTTCGCCCGCTCAGCATGGCCCTAAGCTAGTTTGATCCTTCCTAATTTGTCACTTACCTTTTATGAACCCTTTCGTTTTTCTGCACAATAAAAATCTGGTTGTGGTTGTTATTTACTCTAACCGCAACAAGATCGCTGATAAAACGTCTCGTATTTGACTTAAGGGAGAACTTGACGCCCTAGGCATTCACAGCCGCCTTCTTGACTTTACCAAGTCATACCTCTACAATGGAGAACGGCCAGTTTTAATGGTGTCTTCACCTTCAAACCGAGGCTCTCCTATGAGCGGAATCATTCAAGCTAAAACGATGGTGTTCTTGATTGGCATTTATTATATTTCGTCAGCAGTCAAATGTCCCTCATCCTTTACTTTTGCTGATAAATTCAAATGTGCGTGCACCTTCTCTGGGGTAACGTCCTTGTTTGACATGATCAGATTGAACAACATTGATTTCCTCTATTTGGGTAGAGTTCAACACGACTAATAAAGTTTGTCCTCTCCTAAATGTCGTTTCGTGTATTTTGATCCTGACAAGCTGCCCTTCATCTTTATCTTTCCAAATGCCGCTATGAGAGGTGTTCTTCTACCAAGGACCAAAATTTGGGTAAAGCAAAAATCCATGGTTCGGGTCTTTTAAGATATTGACCTCACTCCATAAAATTTCCGCATTCACAAGCTTAAGTTAAAACTTTATAGCATTCTCGTTAATCGTATTCTTGAACTCTGCCGCCCTCTTCTGCTTACTCAATCAATCTAGTCTTTAAAAGTCGATGAAACGACTGGTTCTTCATATAAAAAACGGTGTTAGCGACTGATTGCCGTCGTATGCATAAGACGGAAAATTTTTTTCTGAAGTACGGCAAAAGCTCTCCAGTAAAACCCACGAGAGTATATTACTCTCCCCTCAAAAAGACACGCTCCGACACCCAACTGAAGTTTTGGGCAGGTATTAGCATAGGAGATTGCACAAGCATGTCGGAAAGTCCATTTTCGCCAAAATTTATGACCATTATTTCTAATAAAATTACATGGACATATTTTCTGCACGAGGAAATGGTATTTCCTTGAAGATACTGGTCAAGAGGGCAAAATGCGTAACGTTTTTGACGTCTCAAATTCTCATATCAGTTTCTGTCATCAATTTTTATGAGATAGTTCACGTACTGTAGGAAAGGCGTTAACCCGTTTTCTGGAATAGTGCGTTTTCAGAGACGCTCAAGTATGTCTTATTCACATAGATAGCAGATAGCTGAGTCACAGTCGAAATCTCCCACGAAGTGAGGCTGCTATCCCTAAAAATCATTTCTGCGAAAATCGTAACTTCGTAGTTCTGTCAAGGTCAACGCGCGCAGCACGATTTTGAATAGATAAGGGAAAGTTATATTTTTGGATTCAATTTCTTAATCCCTTGCACAGTTTTCCAGTGTAGACCTGACGAAATTTTCTATTTTTTGTCATAAGTCATCTTCACTTCCTGTCGTGTTTCTGCGATTTGTCATAAAGCAGAAATCTTTTGTCGCAGTTTTTCACCCAACATAGCCTCAATCCTATCAAGTCTTACCTGCATAAACAAAAGGTTTTCCTCGTAAAAATATAGATTAACATTATATTTTAAACGATAAACCGTCTCCACTGACGGCTTTCATCGTCAGTTTATTGAGAATTATACTGTTATCTATTTTATCCTACATAGCCTTATTATCCAATTCAGATTTATTCATAGTTCTGTTTTACCACCTACGAAATTGTCATTTACCCGTTTTTTTTTTTCTAGTTTGCATTCTGGTATTGAGTAAAACTTGCTTAGTATAAATTGTGCTGTCTGGTCCACCAATATTTGCAGCTTTCATAAATCGTTTCATCATACATAGCCTCATCCATATATCCTCGAAGTTTCGGCAGTTATCATCCATATAAATATTTGGACTTAAGTCTTGTATTGCGTTTTCGGCATGAAACCTCAAGCAACCCTTCGTCGAAATCTGAAGGAAACTAAACTTCATCTGAAACCCAGTGTTCATATGAAAAAAATTGATCTAGGGGCGCTTGATGATTTTAACAACTTTATGTCTCGTTGCGGATCAATTTTTTCTGTCCTTGGTGCCCTTTTTGACGGAAATTTGTCAACGCTTACGTCTCAGCAGTGTGAGAAGCTCATGCCTCTCATAAACCTGGTTGCGACTGCGACTGAAGACAGGCACAAACGCAGTTTCAACTTCATATTAAAAAACGTTCCCAAGAGTAGACAGCCAACTGATGTTGCCTTTCAATTCCTTTTTTCATGCGGCTTCAACTTTAGGGTCGCGGAAGCCAAAAGGCTTTCATCTAGGAGCAAGAATCCACCAAATCTTGTCAAACTGTTTTCATCAATAGAAGTGGATTTTATTTTCTCCTATTTGGAGCGATGAACTCAATATCTCAGGGCAAATAAACTTTTTATTAGTCGAGACCAGACTCCACTGCAACGAAAAATTTCTCCCACATTACCAAACGTAAAGCCATTCCCGAATTCTACCCAAATGTCTTTTTCCTCTAAAGCAGTTTCTCCATCTGGTGTCGACCAAATCCCGCCACCATCTACAGCGGCCCCAGTTCCATCTAGCTCTTCGACTGATCACATTATCACAGAGACGGTTAAAACAAGCCTCTTTAAAACTCCCCCACGGAGCAAGGATTGTTCAAGTGCGGCTCCCAAATTTATAAGGGAGCTTGATTTTAGCAGTAAAGATGAGCTAGTCCTTGAAGCACAACCGGCTCCCAGCACTCAGAATAGTGATTTTGTTAATAAACTTACATCGAATCCACCCCGTTCCCACGCCTGGCCACTCATGTCTGACCTTGCAGTTAGGTCTAATAAGCTAGATGAGAGTTCAGGGAGGTCTTTACCTGTTCCTATCCTGAATTCTAAAATTAACGCCACAGTTTTGAAGCCCTCTTACACATCAGACTGCAAAATGCAAGTATATTGCATTGCTGATAAATTTTCCAATCCCGTTGCTAGCCTGACACCCCAAATAATAAAGCCCTTTCCTGGTGTTAACTGTTTCCCGAAACCATTGCGTCCGCCACCTAACATAAACTACCCCTCACATTATGCTAACAATTCCCAAAATCCTATTTTCTTGTCTCCTATTTTTCCAACCCAACAAAATAGTTTTCCTCTTCCTGGGTCCTCCTCAAATGTTTTTCCACCTAATGCTGCATCTCTAACTAGTAATTACCCCATAAATTTTAGACCGCAGCAACTTTGTCCTCCACCAATTGCTCCGTTCCCTCAGCTTAATTTTCCACCTCCGGCTCTTCCTTTTTTATAAGTAGCAATGAGCGGAACCTACATATTAGGAATACGCTCAGTATTGTCTCTCTCAACGCAAGATCTGTCGTACAAAAGATGGCACACCTAAGAAGTGTAGCTGTTGAGTTTGACACAGACGTATTGTGCATTACTGAATCTTGGGCCCACTCTCTAATTTCAGACTCGGTACTTAACATAGATAGCCTTAGTTTATACCGCCAGGACCGTGCCGACAGACGCGGCGGTGGTTGCCTTCTTTACATAAGAGCATCACTTGCACAATCGCCTTATAACTTGAACATTTCCTCCTTCTCTGGAAATTTATGTTTTGCTTCGGTAATCCTTCCTCAAAATAGGAAAGCCTTAGTCGGATGTGTATATAATCCTCCTTGTTCCTCCGGTAATGAAAGCCAACTTTGTGAACTCTTTGAAAAAATTGCAGAAACTTCTTTCGATGTCAAGATAATCGTAGGCGATTTTAATTTGCCAGAAATTGACTGGCACACACATACTTCTCCTCCTAAATTCCAGAAACTGCTTGACACAATTTACTTTTCAAACCTGACTCAATTAGTTCACTCTTCGACCAGAAACGATAGTGTTTTAGACTAAATTTTTACTAATGGCACCTTCCCTTTATCAATGGATTTTTTTCATGACCTCTTTGCAAGTGATCATGCATTAATTCATTGTCGCCTTCCAGTTGCCATTTCCGCAAAGCCAACAGTTCAACGTAGTATTTTTGACTTTGCTAATGTTAATAAGGATTAAGTAAATAACTTTACATGCACTCTTGATTGGCACAATATTTTTTCAAATAATGATCTAAATTTTTTCAATAATTTATTACAATGCGTAACAGAAGGTCTTCTTGACCTTATTCCTCGGAAGATGTTCAAATCGAGTGCTAATTCCACCGCTATCCCACTCTTTTTTAAAAACAGACTTAAAAAGTTACGGAAGCAGTTTAAAGATCCTTCTGTGAGTTCATTATCAGTTCATCTAAGAATCGTTGAAATATTTGAACTAGCTTCGAAAATGAGGCTCGAGCGAGATAGGCGTAGAGAGTCTTTGGCTATTAATGACGTAAATTCGTCTAAATCAGTTGCTCAGATCTTCCGTCAGAGATCATCTGCTAAGTCCCACCAAGTCATTCCGCCCTTGCTTAGTGCAAGTAATGCCTTCATTACAGAGGAGTTAGGCAAAGCAGAAATTTTAAATTCGTTCTTTGCCAAGCATTTCACCATTGAAACTGATCCGACCCCTTTAATTCCTTCGTTGTCTGATGCTTCTCTTAGCTTCATTAATTTTTCTCCTGAATGTATTCAAAAACTGATAAGTCATCTTCCTAACTCTCACTCAGTAGGTACGGACAATATCCCAAACTCTTTGATAAAACAACTAAGAGATTTTCCTCCTCTGCTTAGCAAAATCTTTTCAGTTTTTCTCGTAAATGGCTTCTTCCCTGACTATTGGAAAACTTCTATTATTATTCCAGTATTTAAGTCTGGCTGTCCTTCTGACG